ACAGGGACCTCTGGCTGACTAGATTTACCAGAAGGGCAGATAGGGGGGAATGGATGGGGGTGCTGACAGCACAGTGGACAGTGGCAGGAATAGCAGAGTATGGAGGCTCTAGTGGGAGAGGAAGGCTGTCTATCTGATGAGTTTGTATTCATGGCCTTCATCTCTTTTTAAAAATATTTTATTTATTATTTTTATTTTATGTGTCTGAGTGTATTGCCTGCATGTATGTGAGTGTACCCGTATTGTGCCATGCCATGGAGGTCAGAAGAGGGCTTCAGATTCCCCTGGAACTGGAGTTAAGGACGGTTCGTAGCCACCATGCGGGTGCTGGGAATCAAACCCGGGTCCTCTGCAAGATCAGTCAGTGCTCTTAATGGCTGAGCCATCTCTCCGGCCCCTTCATCTCTTTTTTAAACAAAACTGTACATAGCTCATTTCTTCACCATTGTATTGTGCCATGCCATGGAGGTCAGAAGAGGGCTTCAGATTCCCCTGGAACTGGAGTTAAGGACGGTTCGTAGCCACCATGCGGGTGCTGGGAATCAAACCCGGGTCCTCTGCAAGATCAGTCAGTGCTCTTAATGGCTGAGCCATCTCTCCGGCCCCTTCATCTCTTTTTTAAACAAAACTGTACATAGCTCATTTCTTCACCATTGACTTGAGGGATTCACCTCCCTGGGTGTGAATGCGTGAAGACCACACAATCTCACCACTGTAGAGTTTTGTCTTATCAGTACACCACCATGCAGTTATCTACTAAAAAGATAAGATGATACTGGGGTACTTTTGAGTTATTTTGAATAGTGCTGCTAGAAACACTGTAGGACACATCCTCTGTTGAAATGTAAAATCATCACAGCAAAGGACATGCCTAAAGGTGGGAGTTTCAGGACCTTAAGAAGCGCTTGAGTTCATCTTTATGAGGGAGCAGCAAGTTTTCAAAAGTGACCCAGCTGAGGTATGCTCCCCTCTGTCCTAGACGAGCATCCTGATCCACGTCCTTGCCAAACTGATACTTTTGTTTGTTTCCTTTATGCAATCCAGGCTCTGTGGAGCTGATTCACTGTGGTTTGGGTTTCTTTTCTGGTGGCTAATGAAGTTGGGCACTTTCATACTTTAATGTCCATTTGGACAATCTCTTCAAGTGTTTACTTTTCTCATTAAAAAAAAACCAGATTGTCTTTTTGCTTTTGATTTGAACTTTTTCATATAATTTGGAATTATGATTCTAATTTTAATAAATTCCTTTGGCGTTTTGTTTTGTAAATCCTCTCATCTGTGTGTTGCCTTTGCACTTCATAATGTCTTTTTATGAACAGTTCTTAATGAGGTGCAATTTATCTGTTTGATGGTCGGTACTTTTGTTTGATCTTTGTTTTTCTTAACATTAACTCTTACAGATAGCTTCCATTCTGTCAAATAATTTTTATGCATTATCAAAATAATCATATAATTTCCCCTTTGTTCTGTAAAGATTCTTTTTGCAAAGATTGCTATTTTATAACAACTAAGCCAACCTTGCTTACCAGAAATAAATCTCACTTTATCGTAATGTGTCGTTTCCTCGCACCAGCTGGTTCCGATCTGTAATTCCCATTTCTCAGCATGTGCTGGCTAAGTTTTGGAATGGAGGTCATGCAGGCCTCAGTGAGTAACAGCTGGGTGGAGGAAGAGCCAGGTGAGGAAGAGATGGGTCCAGAAGAAACTAAGGCAAAGGGTGAGGCTGGACTTTGTGACTGATTTGATGTGGCAGGAAGAAAGTGTGGGGAACTAGCAATCTCACTCATGAGGATGTATCTCAGGACCTGGGGCTGGGTGCCTCTGTCAAAAAGACAGAGACCAGTGGACAGTCAGCCTTTCTACAGTACCAAAGGCCCAGAGAAGCATAGCTCATCTGTCCCAAAAATCTTACACAGCATGTCCTCAAACCCCATGGCTTATCTTTTCCTCCTTTACCTGCTCCCACAGCATGGGTTCAGTATTATCCACAATCACCAGCTGGAGGTCACCTTCCCTCAGCTTCATCAGTTGCTTGCCAGAGCTGTGGCTTCTGGTCTACTCAGAATGCCCTCTGCAGTGCCAACCCATGTGTTTTTTCTTTGTAACAAAACACTAAGCTCCTCCTCAAAATAATTTGATCCCATTTACTTTCCCAGGTGGAAGAACAGAGGCTCCGGAGTCAGGCTGCCTGGGTTTGCTCTCCAGCCCCATCACTGCTGAGCAATGCATTTGTGGCCCCCATTCCTTTGTTCATACATGGAGCAGTCATAGTACCTGCTTCCCAAGAGGATTGCATAGTCTAGAAAAGGACACTGAAAAGGGTTTTGAGTACAGAATGCAGATCAGGTTGAGCTACTGACCATCATCTTCTGTCCCACTAGTAGAACACTGCCACCTATATTAGCTAGGTCCTTTGATCCTTCTCTCCTTGACCTTTGAAGACAGCTACCTTGACCCACATCCCAAGTTGCCTCTGCAAATCCTACAACTGTATTAATGGCATATGTGTAAGGTAGTCTTGCTATTACCTGTGGCCTGGTGG